TTAATTAATGGTGCAAGTTTTAACAACAAGCGTACTTGCCCACAGGGTCAAAGGTCACCATGAAAACGAGGCATTTTTGTGCATTTTTGTCCCGAATGACCTTTTGACCTACGATTACCCCCTAAAAAGATAAGTTAAAAATCCGGAATTTTTTGTGGTGAAACATTTCCAACTATATATTATTAATTTAGTGCATAAGACCCATTTAATAACTGATTTGGGTATTTTAATGGGGGCTAAAAATGGAAGAAAAATTACGCAACCAAATAAGTTAGGGTGTTTACGAACCAATATTTTCGTAACGGTGTCCGGTATACCAAAAGTCATGTCATATTCCTTTTCTACAGCCAAAAGTTAGTCTAGATATCAATTTTCAGTTAATTATCTTTATTCTATTTGAAGATATGGCTAATTGAAGATGCAACCTTACAAATATGTCATAATTGATAGTTAAAAGGGGATATGACCCTAAAATTTCAAATGGCCGTAACTTCTAAACGACTTGGAATTGGCAAGTCAAATTTGGGGTTTGTTCGTCAGACATGTTGGTGCACATCATATCCGAGTTTCAAGAAAATCTGAGACGGTACCCAGCCATCCCATTTGTTGAGTTGGCACGGAATGACCCAGATAGTAATAATCATTAAATAGTATTGTATTCATGTTTGTCTCTGCAGGTACGACGGAAGCAACAACAGAGGACAAGACATTCGATCAAAAGACATTTATGGTTACTATAACAGCCGAAGATTCTGAGACTGGCGAAGTAACAACTGAAGTATCGACAACTACAGAAAAGACAACGGTTGGTGATATTGATAAATTGACAATGTTCGATGCTACTACTAAAACATCAACAGTAAAAAGACAAACAACTGTTAATGTAACAACTGGAAAATTGTCAACAGAAGACAATACAGCTGTCCATACAACAACTGAGAAATTATCATCCGACCAAATGACTATGGCTGTAACAGTCGACGAATCATCAACACCACAGAAAACAATAACTGAATTATTATCAACAGAAGAAACGAAAACCTTTGATGCTACCACTGAAAAATTAACAACTGTTGATATAACAACTAAGGAATTGTCAACGGAAGAAGAAGAAACATCACCAGTTGAGGCAACCACCGTAGACTTGTTAACAGACCAGAGGACAATGGTTGTTAATGTAACCATTGAAGAGTTACCAACAGTAGAAAAAACAACTGCAACTGTTGGTGTAAAAACTGAAATATCAACAGCAGAAAAAAGAACAACGTCCGATGCTACTACTGAAAAATTAACTGTTGCACGTGAAACAACACTTGATATAGCAACTAAAAATTTGACAACGGAAGACAAGGTAACAGTCGAACCAACAACCATAGAATTTTTTACCAACCAGTGGACGACGGTAAATGTAACATTTGAAGAGGCATCAACTGTACCAAAAGCAACTGCTAATGAAAAAACTGATGATAAGACAATGCATACTACTACTGATGAATCAATCGTAAATGAGCAAACATCGTTTCACATTACAACTACAAAATTGACAACGAAAGACTTGACAACAGTTGATTCAGCTACTGAAGATTTATTAACTGACCAGAAGACAATGGTTGTTAATGTAACAGTTGAAGAACTGTTAACAATTGAGAAAACAACTGCTGATTTAACAACTGAGGTATCAACAAAAGAAACAACAGTGGTCGAGGCTACTACTGAAAAATCAACAGCTGAATGGAAAACAGCAATTAATACAACAAGTGAAAACTTCACAACAAAAGACAAGACAACGATCGGTGCAACTACTGAGCAATCCTTAACTGATGAGATGACGACCGTTAATGTAACAATCAAAGAATCATCATCTGCAGTACAGAAAACGACTGCTGAAGTAGCAACTGAGGTAGCAACAATAGAAGAATCAACAGTGTTCGAAGCTACTACTAAAAAATCAACAGCTGAATGGAAAACAGCGATTGATATAACAAGTAAAAACATTACAACAAAAGATGAAATAACGATCGTTGCAACTACCGAGAAATCCTTAACTGATGAGATGATGACCGCTAATGTAACAATCGAAGAATCATCATCTTTTCAGAAAACAAATGCTGACGTAACAACTGAAGTACCAACATCGGAAGAAAATACACCAGTCTATACAACTTCTGTAGAATCTACAGCGGAATGGCAAACATTATTGGATATAACAACTAAAGAATTGACGACGAAAGACATGACAACGGTTGATTCAGCTACTGAAGATTCATTAACTGGCGGGAAGACAATGGTCGTTAATGTAACAGTTGAAGAACTATCAACAATTGAGAAAACAACTGCTGATTTAACAACTGAAATACCAGCAACAAAAACATCAACAGAAGTCGATACTATTAGTGATAAATTTACAGTAGAATGGCAAACAGCTGTAACTAAAGAATTGACAACGGAAGACAAGAAAACTACCAATGCAACCACTATAGAACCGTTAACTAACCGGTGGACCACGGTAAATTCAACAAATGAAGAATCATCTACAGTACAAAAAATGACTGCTGATGTAGGAACTGAAGTACCAACGTCAGAAGAAGATACACCAGTCTATAGAACTTCCATAGAATCAACAGCGGAATGGCAAACATTGTTGGACATAACAACTAAAGAATTGATGACGAAAGACATGACAACGGTTGATTCAGCTACTGAAGATTCATTAACTGACGAGAAGACAATGATCGTTAATGTAACAGTTGATGAACTATCAACAATTGAGAAAACAACTGCTGATTTAACAACTGAAATACCAGAAACAAAAACATCGACAGAAGTTGATACTACTACTGACGAATTTACAGTGGAATGGCAAACAGCAGTAACTAAAGAATTGACAACGGAAGATAAGAAAACTTCCAATGCAACCACTATAGAATCGTTAACTAACCGGTGGACCACGGTAAATTTAACGAATGGAGAATCATCTACAGTACAGAAAATGACAGCTGATGTAGCAACTGAGGTAGCAACAATAGAAGAATCAACAGTGTTCGAAGCTACTACTGAAACATCAACAGCGATTGATATAACAAGTACAAACATCACAACAAAAGACGAAATAACAATTGTTGCAACTACCGAGAAATCATTAACTGATGAGATGACGTCCGTTAATGTAACATTCGAAGAGTCATCATCTTTTCAGAAAACAATTACTGATGTAACAACTGAAATACCAACACCGGAAGAAAATACACCTGTCTATACAACTTCAACAGAATCAAAAGCGGAATGGCAAACATTGTTGGACATAACAACTAAAGAATTCATGACGAAAGACATGACAACGGTTGATTTAGCTACTGAAGATTCATTAACTGGCGGGAAGACAATGGTCGTTAATGTAACAGTTGAAGAACTATCAACAATTGAGAAAACAACTGCTGATTTAACAACTGAAATACCAGCAACAAAAACATCAACAGAAGTCGATACTATTAGTGATAAATTTACAGTAGAATGGCAAACAGCTGTAACTAAAGAATTGACAACGGAAGACAAGAAAACTACCAATGCAACCATTATAGAACCGTTAACTAACCGGTGGACCACGGTAAATTCAACAAATGAAGAATCATCTACAGTACAAAAAATGACTGCTGATGTAGGAACTGAAGTACCAACGTTGGAAGAAGATACAGCAGTCTATACAACTTCCATAGAATCAACAGCGGAATGGCAAACATTGTTGGACATAACAACTAAAGAATTCATGACGAAAGACATGACAACGGTTGATTCAGCTACTGAAGATTCATTAACTGACGAGAAGACAATGATCGTTAATGTAACAGTTGATGAACTACCAACAATTGAGAAAACAACTACTGATTTAACAACTGAAATACCAGCAACAAAAACATGGACAGAAGTTGATACTACTACTGACGAATTTACAGTGGAATGGCAAACAGCAGTAACTAAAGAATTGACAACGGAAGATAAGAAAACTACCAATGAAACCACTATAGAATCGTTAACTAAGCGGTGGACCACGATAAATTTAACGAATGAAGAATCATCTACAGTACAGAAAACGACTGCTGATGTAACAACTGAGGTAGCAACAATAGAAGAATCAACAGTGTTCGAAGCAAATACTGAAAAATCAACAGCTGGTTGGAAAACAACGATTGATATAATAAGTAAAAACATTACAACAAAAGACGAAATAACGATTTTTGCAACTACCGAGAAATCCTTAACTGATGATATGACGACCGTTAATGTAACAATCGAAGAGTCATCATCTTTTCAGAAAACAAATGCTGACGTAACAACTGAAGTACCAACATCGGAAGAAAATACACCAGTCTATACAACTTCAATAGAATCAACAGCAGAATGGCAAACATTGTTGGACATAACAACTAAAGAATTGATGACGAAAGACATGACAACGGTTGATTCAGCTACTGAAAATTCATTAACTGAAGAGAAGACAATGATCGTTAATGTAACAGTTGAAGAACTGTCAACAATTGAGAAAACAACTGCTGATTTAACAACTGAAATACCAGCAACAAAAACATCGACAGAAGTTGATACTACTACTGACGAATTTACAGTGGAATGGCAAACAGCAGTAACCAAAGAATTAACAACGGAAGACAAGAAAACTACCAATGCAACCACTGTAGAATCGTTAACTAACCGGTGGACCACGGTAAATTCAACAAATGAAGAATCATCTACAGTACAGAAAACGACTGCTGATGTAGCAACTGAAGTACCAACGTTGGAAGAAGATACACCAGTCTATAGAACTTCCATAGAATCAACAGCGGAATGGCAAACATTGTTGGACATAACAACTAAAGAATTGATGACGAAAGACATGACAACGGTTGATTCAGCTACTGAAAATTCATTAACTTACGAGAAGACAATGGTCGTTAATGTAACAGTTGAAGAACTATCAACAATTGAGAAGACAACTGCTGATTTAACAACTGAAATACCAGCAACAAAAACATCAGCAGAAGTCGATACCACTAGTGATAAATTTACAATGGAATGGCAAACAGCTGTAACTAAAGAATTGATAACGGAAGACAAGAAAACTACCAATGCCACCACTATAGAATTGTTAACTAACCGGTGGACCACAGTAAATTCAACAAATGAAGAATCATCTACAGTACAGAAAATGACTGCTGATGTAGCAACTGAAGTTCCAACGTCGGAAGAAGATACACCAATTTATACAACTTCCATAGAATCAACAGCGGAATGGCAAACATTGTTGGACATAACAACTAAAGAATTGATGACGAAAGACATGACAACGGTTGATTCAGCTACTGAAGATTCATTAACTGACGAGAAGACAATGATCGTTAATGTAACAGTTGATGAACTGTCAACAATTGAGAAAACAACTGCTGATTTAACAACTGAAATACCAGCAACAAAAACATTGACTGAAGTCGATACTACTACTGACGAATTTACAGTGGAATGGCAAACAGCAGTAACCAAAGAATTGACAACGGAAGACAAGAAAATCACCAATGCAACCACTATAGAATCGTTAACTAACCGGTGGACCACGGTAAATTCTACAAATAAAGAATCATCTACAGTACAGAAAACGACTGCTGATGTAGCAACTGAAGTACGAACGTCGGAAGAAAATACACCAGTCTATACAACTTCAATAGAATCAACAGCAGAATGGCAAACATTGTTGGACATAACAACTAAAGAATTGATGACGAAAGACATGACAACGGTTGATTTAGCTACTGAAGATTCATTAACTGATGAGAAGACAATGGTTGTTAATGTAACAGTTGAAGAACTATCAACAATTGAGAAAACAACTGCTGATTTAACAACTGAAATACCAGCAACAAAAACATCAACAAAGGTCGATACTACTAGTGATAAATTTACAGTGGAATGGAAAACAGCTGTAACTAAAGAATTGACAACGAAAGACAAGAAAACTACCAATGCAACCACTGTAGAATCGTTAACTAACCGGTGGACCACGGTAAATTCAACAAATGAAGAATCATCTACAGTACAGAAAACAACTGCTGATGTAGGAACTGAAGTACCAACGTTGGAAGAAGATACAGCAGTCTATACAACTTCCATAGAATCAACAGCGGAATGGCAAACATTGTTGGACATAACAACTAAAGAATTGATGACGAAAGACATGACAACGGTTGATTCCGCTACTGAAGATTCATTAACTGATGAGAAGACAATGATCGTTAATGTAACAGTTGATGAACTACCAACAATTGAGAAAACAACTACTGATTTAACAACTGAAATACCAGCAACAAAAACATGGACAGAAGTTGATACTACTACTGACGAATTTACAGTGGAATCGCAGACAGCAGTAACTAAAGAATTGACAACGGAAGGAAAGAAAACTACCAATGCAACCACCATAGAATCGTTAACTAACCGGTGGACCACGATAAATTTAACGAATGAAGAATCATCTACAGTACAGAAAACGACTGCTGATGTAGCAACTGAGGTAGCAACAATAGAAGAATCAACAGTGTTCGAAGCTACTACTGAAAAATCAACAGCTGAATGGAAAACAGCGATTGATATAACAAGTAAAAACATTACAACAAAAGACGAAATAACGATCGTTTCAACTACCGAGAAATCCTTAACTGATGAGATGACGACCGTTAATGTAACAATCGAAGAGTCATCATCTTTTCAGAAAACAAATGCTGACGTAACAACTGAAGTACCAACATCGGAAGAAAATACACCAGTCTATACAACTTCTGTCTCTTATACACATCTAGATGTGTATAAGAGACAGCATCAACAGAAGTCGATACTATTAGTGATAAATTTACAGTAGAATGGCAAACAGCTGTAACTAAAGAATTGACAACGAAAGACAAGAAAACTACCAATGCAACCATTATAGAACCGTTAACTAACCGGTGGACCACGGTAAATTCAACAAAT